GAAGATGGGTATGTAAGCTCTACCTCTAGGGAGCAACTAGGGAGTGTTAGGTTTCCAAACAGCAGCTCCCCCGCTCCCCAACAGGGACCTCACCTTGACCTTTGGAGTCAAGGAAAACAAACTCTGCTGAGAAGCAGCCTGCCTTTCCTCTCATCTCCAAAGATAAGATAAGCAGATTCTACCTGATAACCAGAGATTTTAGAAGTTGTTTATCACAACAGCTTTTCTCTTTTTTTAAGAGGGAAACTGCTGCTGTTTGGAACCCTAACACTCAATCCTTTAGATACAAGGAATAAAGTGATTTCTTCCATTGTACAAACATGTATATGCAGGATGAATTTCAAGTCTACGGCAAGATGTCAAGTCCATTCAGCAGACTTAGAAACTGAATTAGGAAAAAAATTAGAAAACATCTGTGACAGTATTCTACCCAGAACATAAACTATCAACAGAAAAAGATCAAACACCATAGCTAAAAAAAAGCATAATCTCTTAATTTTCCTTTCAAGTTAAATCTAGACTACTGTTATATTGACATTATGACATTAACTGACCTCAAAAGTGTGAATAAAGCAATGTTTATACTTGTATTTAATTTTTCTAAAATGATATAAGAATACCTACCTTGAGGATGTCTGGGAGTTTTACTATTACCTTCGCCATGGTATCTCAAAAGATCAGAAAAATAACAAAGAGAAAGTATAAAAATAACCAAATGTGAATTGTCAAATGTGAATTAAAGATTTTATGTCTTGTCAGTTTTATTACATTCTCGCAATATTTGGATTTTAAAGATCTTACTAGAAACTTTTTTTAAATAAAAGTTTTATTGGAGAAAAATAGAACCACCACATACACAGGGTAAAAAAAAGCACAAAAATTCAACTGATACAGAACTGAAATTCACAATTACCCAATATAGTTTATAATTTTCAATTTCTTAAACAGCTTCCCTTTAACAGTCTTGCTAGTTTTTCAGCTGAAACAGCATCAAGTTTTCAAAGAATTAAGAACCTCAGGAAAGGGACCCGCTTTCAAGACAATAAAGGTGATATCAAGAGCCTCCTAGTAGGAACTCTACCTAAAATCCCTTAAGAGTAACTAGTGAGTGGTGTAATAGTCTAGATATCCCAGAGCCCATCAGGGATGAGTTAGAACACTGATGTAGATGGTCCAGTAAACAAAATAACCACATTTCCTTGTCAGAAAAGCTCCTGTAAGGACACTAGGGAGGAGCTGAAAAAAATATACGTCATGGCTGCTCAAAAAGAATTGGGAAGGAATTCTAAATACTATATATAGTTAAACATTGTGCAAGTTGATGCAATTGGAGAGAAACAGGCAACCTTAAAAAATATAGATAGCTGGCCACAGGTCTTTGAGAACTCAAGAAAACAATCAATAGTAGACACAAGAGTCCCAAGTCTTCTAAGTTGAAGGTTTGGATCTAGGCACTCCCCCAATGGCTCCAAACAGACAAGGAAATACGCTGTTGCACAAAATATTAAAGAAGTTCTAATAAAAAAACACTAAAACTTTCTGCCTCTCTTCCATAATCAATTCCCTTCATGACAAACAAGCCACGATGATGAAGAGAAGCCTTTTACTCACATTTTTGTTTGAATAACAATACTTTTTCAATTTTCTATGTATGAAAATTTGGGGACATTTCCCTGAAAAGCAGGTGTCCAGTGGCTATGAGAACTCTTAAATTCAAGCAATTCCAAAAAGAATACAGAAAAAAGAATACAGAACTTAAAATTTCCAAATAGGGAGTATGTAATGAAAATAAAGGTAAACTCTTTTTTTTTTTTGTCTTTTTGAGACAGGGTCTCCCTGTATCCCCAGCTGGCCTGGAAGTCACTATGTAGACCAGGCTGGCCTCAAACTCACAGAGATCCACCTGCCTCTGCCCAGTGCTGGGATTAAAGGCGTGCGCCACCACGCCTGGCAACATAAGGGGAAACTCTTATCTCAGTTTCCAGATAAAGAGTATCCACTATGACAGTAAAGGCTTTGTTTACCAATAAAGAGCAGTGGGGTTTAAAAAACACAACAAATCAAAACAAAAACCTTTAGCAGAGAAAACTGGAATGAAAACCCCAGGAAGCAGGCAACATTCAACAACTTGTCCAAATTCAAGACAAAAACTGTCCAAACAACATTTAAAGACTAAAGCATGTGGAAAACTAGTTGGTGAATTTCTGAGCCTGTAAAATTTCATAAAACATGTTGATTTTTGGTCACTTGTGATTTTCATATTGTATTCATTTTTAATACGAAGATTTGGATTTTTCAATCTTGCTATGTTCCTCTAGTACAGGATGAACAGCAATTTTTCTATTTTAGCTATTTTTTGAAAGTACCTGTTAGCATAGTAAACTCAGGGCTAGGTCACATATACACATCCCATATTCAGAAATGGAAACATTAGGATGTGAATATACAAATTATTGTGTCAGTAACTGTCGCCCTACTTGAAAATGTTTCCAAAGAAGTTTTTCAAACATCCCTTTCCATGAAACAGAATGTTTTCTAGTAAAATATCAATAGCTATGACAGTTTATTTTTCTTTTCAAGGGAAACCACAAAACAAGTGAACAACCAAGTCCAGGGTGGTTTTTCTATTTGATAAATACATCCAGAACTCTGTACAGTAAATAAAGTTTGCATGCAGTTTAAGTATCTTTAAATGACTTTTAAGCAAATAAACCTTTGCTTCATTAATGGTATAAGAACCCCCCTCCCCTTTTAATAACCATAGGGATATCTCTTCCCCAGTTCCAAAAAGGAATCATGAAGACCGGGTACTTTCTTAAAGAGTTTTCTGCACATCATACTAAATAACATGCAAAGAGTTGCACAACATTCTTCTTAAAGGTTAAGTATTACTCTTTAAAATGGCATGTTAACCACTGAGAAAAGTCCACTCAACTATTTCCATTACACTGCTTGATTTGGTCATTGGAAGTATAAAAGAAGTCAAATAATAGGAGATTCAACAAGTTAGTTTATCCACTGGCTACTGCGTATAACAGTGTTCCAAGGCCAACATTCTATGCAATATAGTTATACTGGTTTGGGTTTTCTTTATCTCGTTCCATGTAGTCTCGGTCAATTAAGGATTCTATTCTCTTCTTTAGATCTGCAGGCTGTAAGAGAAGGCATATTTTCAATGCAAAGTTCATTAGCACAAGCCCGTTTACTAACACCCCATTAAAAAATGAACGAAAGGCAGGTATGTAGTGATACCTGCCTAGACCCCTTAACTCAGGAGGAGGAAGGAGGATCACAAGTTCGAGGTTGGCCCTGTCAGTCAGACCCTGTCTCAAATAGCCAAAAAAAGGTTTTACACTACATACTATACATATTATAGCCATACTCTAACCACATCATCAAGTCATTCAATGTTTTCTACTACTTTTCTATTTTAAAGATAACCTTCTGAGAACTAGCTACCTTCCATACAATTAAAAACAGAAGACTAAACTTGCATAATTTTATATAAGGAACTCATTATCGTTTAGGGAAACAATGTTAATTAAATTCAAACAAGATGGTTTGAAATAGATGAGTGCACCTTTATTAGCAAAAGGCAAAGGCTAGTTCTGCAAGTTAGCTTCCATTTTTATACATTGAAGTTTAACATGTAGATGGGCATCAGAGCACACTTCTATTATCCCAGCAATCAGAAGGCTGAAGGAAGAGGACTGTGAGATTAAGACCAGCTTGGGATATAGTAACACTGTCTCAACAAACACACACTGAGATCAATTAACTAACCAATTAACAAATAAATGAATTAAAACATAAAAAAGGGGTCTGGAGAGATGGCTTGGCAGTTAAGAATGCTTACTGCTTTTGCAGAGGACCCCAGTTCATTTCCTAGCACTCATGGTGGGTAGCTCACAACCACCTGTAATTCCAGCTCCAAGGGATTCAACACCCTCTTCTGGCCTCTGAGAGCACCTGCACTCACATGCGCATACCAGCTTTCCCATATACATATAATTTTTAAAAATCAAAAAAAGTCTAAGGGAAATTTCTTTATGAAAGTATAATGGACCTGGTGGCACAGGCCTATAATCCCAGCTACTTGGGTAGCTGGGGCAGGAAGATTTTAATTCAAGGCCTACCTGGGCAGGCTACATAGTAAATTCAAGGCCACCCTGAGTTAAGTTAGCTAGATCCTATCTCAAAAATGAAGGAGGTGGGAGTCAGGGACTTTTACTGAGACAGCACTTGCCTAGCAAATGTGAAGTCACAGGTTTGATTCCCAGAACCAGACATGAAAAAAATGTAAATATGCAGGCATGTACACACATATTTGTACACACACACACACACACACACACACACACACACACACCAGCTACATACAATAGTTTGATAAATGAAATATAATAGTTCACATCTGTATGTTTCTGATATGATTTAACTATTTACATAAGTGATTTGGATTTCTGAATCTTGTAGTTTAAAATTCATTATCACAGTTTAGAGCTGAGCATGGTGGCGCTAATACATTTTCAAATGATATTTTTGACCTTTAGCTTGCTAATTTCAAAGATATGGAACACATGTATATGGATGGTCGATTATATAATATTGTTTGCTAATACAGTTTTGAAGAATACGTAAAATGACCACTTGGATCAAGAGAAAAGCCTGGCATGGTGGCACATGTCTATAGTCCCAGTTACTCAAGAGCTGAGACAGGAGGACATCTTCAGCTCAGTTTCTCAAGACCAGCCTTGAAAACCTAGCAAGACTGAAGAACAAAACACCAAAAAAACAAGGGAGAAGTCAAGACAGGGAGGCAAAATTCCACCCAGTAATTACAAAGTTTGAATATCAAATGACTTTTCTAAGTTGAAAAACATAAACTAATCAAGAGTGTTTACTATAGGATCTCTTATATTCTAGTATCAGTAAGTGCTCTTGTCTGGAGGTGAAATGATTGGGGGAGTCCATGGAAAAGAATGGTAATGACGAGGCAGCGTTAGACTTAGAGAAAAAGCCTAACTTCTTAGAATTAATAGTTAGTAAGTACTTACATACCAAACTCAATAGTAAGGTTTTTATAATCACCATCTCATTTAAGCCTCATAATAATCCTGTGAGGTAAGTATAATTATTATTTCCATTTCACAAAAGAAGAAACAAGCTTAGCAATGTTAAACGATTTACCAAAGTCTAAAGCTCTTAGGAATCGTGTAACAGCCAGGATTCTACACAAAGTCTACCAAATATTTATTATTGCAAGAACTTAGGAATCTTTTAAAATTGGAAAAATAGTCCAGTACAATACCACATTGTCTAAGTGCCTTTACTGCTGTGTTTTTATACTGGAACATGTCCAGGTAATAAGCAACTTCAGTTTACAACAACTATTATAGCTAGACTTTTTCAAAACACATTAAAAGGAAATTAGATTTGGGAAGCACACATTGTATGCATGTGTAGAAATATAGTAAATATTACTCAAAACTTTAAAAATATTTATATATATTTTAAAATTATATTTAAATGTGTGTGCCTGAGTGTTAATGTCATGTGAGTTCAAATGCCTGCAGAGACCAGAAGAGAACGTTGGATTTCCTGGAGCCGGAGCAGCAGGTGGTTATGAGTTGCCCGATATGGATACTAGGAACCCAACTCAGGTCCTCTGGAAGAACAGCACATGCTTTTATCCACTGAGCCATCTGAGTGGATCTGAGTTACATACCACTGTTAGCCACCATGTGGGTGCTGGGAGTCAAAGCCAGGTCTTCTGCAAGAGCAGCCAGCGCTCTTAACAGCTGAACCATCCTCTCCAGCCCTGTAAACTATTTTTAATAAACATTTACGTATGCTACATAAACAAAAGTTGTAATTCACCTAATAACCAAATCTGTCAAATATCAAGCTACCTCCAAAAGATGTATGGTTCAAAACATGGTGAATGAAATTGAAAATTTCAAAACCTCAGCCGGATGTGATGGCACACGCCTTTAATCCCAGAACTCGGGAGGCAGAGGCAGGTGGATCTCTGTGAGTTCAAGGCCAGCCTGGTCTACATAGTGAGTTCCAGGACAGCTGGGGCTACAGGGAGACCCTGTCTCAAAAAAGACAAAAAGAAAGAAAGAAAAAATTTCAAAGCCTCATTTACTCATTAAACCTTCAGGGACAGGGGCTTTTATAAAATGTTTCCCACTTCCATCACAGCTGTCTACACATGCCAATGAAGTTCTTTTAGAAATCACATGTATGAGCACAGGCAATTAAGAAGCAGTTGCTCCAAATAGTTTAGTTTTTCATCTCTATCTGCTATATGAATGTATGAAACCTAATGTATTTTCTTTCATATCCAACAAGCCCAGTATGAAAACACAGGAATACCTACTTTTACTGGAAATTTTAACTGATTGTATACTTCTGAAACAAGGAGATTGTGACTAAGTGTTTTCCTCATCTTCATAATTCGGACAATTGCAGCATCAATTTGATATTGTCTATCTTGAAATACTCTTTCTGTAGTGCTAGCCTGTTCTTCAACCTGAAAAAAAGTTTTAAACTTAAGTTCAAACCTGATTATTCACACAAACTGTATTACAGATATGACAGTCTTACTGCTTTAAATGTACTGAATTATTTAAATGAGACCTTAAAATAACAGTCAAGAAAAAAATACTCTACAAATATAATGCCTTTCTGTTCTAATCATACTGCACTGTATCAATAGAACAATGCCAATGTTACTTAACAGAAAATCACCATCTTTAAGAGCTAGGGGGAGGTATGCTCAGTTGACCAAGTGCTTGCCACATAAGCATGAGGACCAGATTTTTATTTTTATCACCTGAACTCACATAAAAATCCCAGGTGTGGTGGCATGTATTTATACTCCAAGTGCAATGGAAGCAGACAGGCAAATCCCTGGAACTCACTGGCCAGCCAGCCTACACTAACGAGTGTGTTACAGATCCCAAGAGACTAAGTCTCAAGAAATGAGGTAGTCGGCTCCTAAAGGACAACACCCAAGGTGACTTCTGGCCATCAATAAAACTAAAATGTCCATACTATTTAATCCAAAAGTTTAATTCCATGAATTTATCGTAAGGGAAAGACCAGAGACAATAAGATTAAGTACAGAAATGTTTCTTGCAGTTTTATCAGTCATGTAAAATAGTATTATGTAGCTATTTTTAAAATATTTCTTTTTATGTTTACGAGTGTATTGCCTGCATGTATGTAAGTGCACCTGTGCCGTGCAATGTCCAAGGAGGTCAGAAGAGGGTGTCAGATCCACTGGAACTGGAATTACAGATGGTTATTAGCTACCATGTGAGTGCTGGGAACCGAACCCTAGTCCTCTGTTAGAATAGCCAGAGCTCTTAACCACTGAGCCATCTCTCCAGCCCCTATTAGCTATTTTTTTGACCACTTCATTGTATTTTAAAAATGTGTGGATGTAGGCATGGGTGGGGAGGTCAGAGGACAGCCTTGGGTATCATTCAGGCACCTTCCACTTTCTGTTTGAGACAAAGTCTTTCATTGGCCTGGAACATTGCTCTGTAGGCCAGTGTACCTGGCCTGTGTGACTTCAGGAATCCATTTTCCTCCATCTCCCAATTCATCATCATTGGGATTATAGGCACATGCCACTGTGCACCTGCCTTTTGTGAGAGTGCTTTACCAAATGAGTCATCTCCTTAGGCCTATTTGTCATTTGTTAAAGATATTTAATAGCATGGAAAAGTTCTAAAGATTGAGTCAGGTGGTTTATTCCTGCAATCTCAGAACTCGGGAAGCTGAGGCAGGAGCATTGCTTTAATTCTGAAGCTAGCCTAGACGATGGAGTGACTTCCAGGATAGCCCAAGTTACACAGTTGGGGGGTCAGACACACAAAAGACCAGATATAGGTCATTTGGTAGGGTGCTTATCTAGCATGTGTGAAGCCCTTTGTATGATCCCAGCACTGCAAAAAACTAGGTATACTGGCAATAGCTTATAATTCCAGCACTTGGGAAGTAGAGGCAGGAATATCAGATGTTCAAGGTCACCCTCAGCTACACAGTCTGACCTATCTCAGCCTGACCTGGTCTGAGGTCAGCCAGGGCTATATGAGATCCTGTCTCAAAAAAGAAAGCCGGGCATGGTGGCACACACCTTTAATCCCAGCACTTGGGAGGCAGAGGCAGGCGGATCTTGTGAGTTGTAGGCTAGTCTGGTCTACATAGCTGAGTTCCAGGACAGCTGGAAGCTGGAGAAGGGACACCCTGTCTCAAAAAAAAAAAAAAGGAAAAGATCTGCTAACATCCTAGATGCACATTAACACATGAATCGATAAATAAATTAAGGTACATATACATAATGAAAATTTATTCAGCTACAAAAAAATTAAACAATGTCACTTGCAGGAAAATATATGAAAATGGAGATCCCCATGTTAAGCAAAGTAAGAGACTTAGACAAATACCATGTTTTCTTTCACATGTGGAATCTAGATGGATGATGGGAAGAGGAAGAAGGGAAAAGACAAAGTAAGTTTAAGTTCTGGATTTAACTCCGTACGCATGTACATACACGCATGTGTGTGACATGAAAGCAGGAAGAATATTTGAGAGGATGAAGAAGACCAGTTAAGAAGAAGGGAGGAAGGATGAGGGAGGTTGGTAGGGGGCCAAACAAAAACAAAGTACAATGCTACATGTAGGAAAATGTCACAATGAAACCCCATTATTGTATATGTCATCTTAAAAAAAATCAATGAAAAAATTTAAAACAAAAAAAGGATATAAAATTACACTGATGGAAGGATGTAACCCAAAGGTAGAACACTTGTCAAGTATGCACATGGCTATGGGGTCTATCCATAGGAAGAAAACCCCAAATCCCCCCAAAACATTGTTCATCATCAGCCCAATTATGTTCATTCCCCAAGAAAAAGAAATCTAAAAATCAAACACTAAAATACATTATCTAGAGAGAGAGGCACAGAGAATGTTAATAGCAATGGCAGCATTAGAACAATAAAATCTGTAAATCCTACTAGAAACACAGGACTAGGAGAAAGCAAAAAGTTTACCGTTTCTTTCATTTGGATTTGATTGATCTTTATCCTGAACAGTTTGTGTTTGAAATCATCGTTACAAATGAATTTGTCACCATCTTCAATATCTTTTCCCTTTGGGTTTTTTGACAGAACTCGAGCTTTGCCACAGGCTAGTGACTGCAGCGTCCTTCTCAACTCTCCATCCTCTGAGGAACAAACAGTGGTTCAGTTATTTTTTAGTAGCTCATCAGCATGAACATTACAATCAATGTCAATCTATCTTCTGCCACATCCTCTATTAATCTGCTTCTTTTTCCCCCAAAGCACCAACACTTGTTCCTTGTTCTACCCATTAGCACTTTTTTTTCTTGCTGTCTTCTAAGGACATCAATTACCATCTCATACAGACAACTGCTACTTCTTCTGGCACAACATTTCACCTCTCTCCAGCCTCTCATTCAAAGGACACATTCACTTGGCTGTTTTATCATCACACCAGTATGTCCATGTTCTCTGTAACCCTCTGGGGCTCCATTGCTAGTGGTGATGCTACCAACCGAATCTGATAAGAAACCGTAGAATCGTTTTTTAAAGGCTTCTTTCTCTTTCATTCCTCCATGTACCTAGTAATTGTTTCCTTTGAGACACTTCATTGTCACTGGCCTCATTCTAGCATAAACCCCTTAGCACTTTATGTCAGATTTAGCATCATAGCTTCTAGACTGGAATCTCTCCCTGCTTCAGTGGCCAGCTCTGTGAGATACTATAGCACAGGCTTCATTTGTTGTATGTATCAGGACCAGGCCCTACACACCTTACCTATTATGTTTTGTAATTCATCGTTCTAAGCTATGACTGGACTTTTCATCACTCCTAGCCACATTCCCCACTCCTACCTCCATGCAGTTTCTCACACTATTTCCCTTGTTTCATATGCCTTCTCCCTTACCAAAACTTGTAGGGCCAGCTCTACTCCCACCTCCATCCAGTGACATCTTTGCCAACATCTTAGCACACAGGTACATACTGGTTTTGAAATCATTTGCAGTATGATTTCACACCCACCCACATGGTTCTATTAAATTAAGAATATAGAGGATGGGGCTGGAGAGATGGCTCAGTGGTTAAGAGCACTTACTGCTCTCACAGAAGATCCAAACTGGGCTTCTAGCACCCACATCAGGCAGCTTACAACAGCCTGAAACTCCAATTCTAGGGCATTTAATGCCCTTTTCTGGTTCCCAAAGGCTCTACACACATGCTGCACATATACTCACACAGGGTCACACATACACAAATAAAAAACAAATCCATCTTAAAAAAAAAAAGAGTACAGAAAAGAGGAATTTCCCAGAGTTCTGAACATAGTGGAACACAAGCAGTAGAGACCTAAAAATGCTTGCTAATTTACTGAATACAAACCTATTCCGGTGGCTTGCTTGATCTCTTCTAAACTGAACTCCTCTCCTTCATTAAACATTAGCAGCACCAGGGTTTGAAAAAGAGAGACCTGAAGTTCTTTTTTACCCTGTTGGGAAATAGCAGTGTTTAGCCACAATGATTTTTTACAATACATGAAAAATTAATCAAGTAATTTCTTACAGGAAAAGCATTTTTAATTAGTGAGTTTAGAAGAACAGATTAACATTATCCAGAAAAATCACTACAGGTAATCCAGAATGTACAGTATAAGGTTTAGGTGTGATTCTACATAAAATGAAGGATTAGTTAGTCCTATTAACAGGTCTTTCATAATCCTTATTAAAATGGAATAAAGTAATGAAAATAACCCAGACCTGTGTGTCGTTATAGATATTGACCATAAGCAGTCAGAAATTACTATTTCAAATGCATTTTCTGAGACAGTGTCTCATGTAGACCAGGCTGGACTCAAACTTGCTATCTAGCCAAAGATGTCCTTGAAGTCTGGGTCCTCTTGTCTCTACCTCCTAAGTGCTAGGATTACAGTCATGTACCATTATGCCACACTTTCAAATGAATTTTCACTTGATTCAGATTAGTCATGAAAAGCGTAAGACTTTTTTGAAATTAGAGATGGATATTTAACGCCTAGGTTTTTCTGTAGCTTCTAGTAGCATGATTTCTGAAAGGAAGCAGTAATGTGAATTCGACATCCATAGGTGAGCAAACGTTATTATTTTTGGAGAAGGGTCAATTCAAGGGAAGAAAAGGTGACCATCTTAAAACATACACAAAAGTGTAACAAATCTATCACTGTTGTCACACTAATGTCTAGGATATACTTATAAAACAGTAGCTTCACCCACCCTTCAAGTGAATAGGAATGACCCCAGTATTAAAGATGAAGTTAGAAATTAAGTTTGGGGAATTTCCACTTACTTCTTTAAATTCGGCTTTGAGCACACAGTGTCCTAAGGTCGACTGCCACTGGAGTTTTCTGCCACTGTGTTTGCCTAAATAAAATGTCTTGAAAATTTCCTGAAGTTTTACCATCTAAAGTCAATAAAGAGAGACATTAATTAAGCTCCATATTCAATACTACACCACCAGTCTTTTCATCCATCCATCCATCCACCCACCCTGTGTATATGGTGGTGTGGGAATGTGCCAATGCCACAGAGGACAACTTGCAAGAACAGGTTTCTCTTCTTCCACTATGTGTCCTGGGGATGGAACTCAAGTTGTCAGACTAGGTGGACAGTACCTTTAGCCCCAAGTCATCTTACTAACCCCCACTTCACCATTCTCTGTACGAACCTCATTTGCAGTAACTTTCAAGTTTTTAAGACTATACCCAGTAGGTACCAGTCACTTTGATCTAAGGTAAAACTCTCCTAACCACCCAATGTGATGGTACTTGGTAATCATGCCACTCTTTGATCTCTTCTGCCCATTTAATCATCCCTTTACCTCTGATGACTTCTACACTATGCAGTTCTGGTTTCTCATTATTGCTTCTGCCCAAGTTTCTTTTGCTGGTATCTCTTCCTACCACCTGCCAAAATGGGAGTCCTTTCTAAAGTCCTACCTCTGCCCCTTTTATCCCTTCTTTACCCTAGTCTCCATGACCTGGGCTTCTAGGACAGTTTCCATGGAGAATCGACTCTTAGTATCTCTTTCTCTATTCAGTCTTTTTCTAGGCTTTGGTCCTGAGATAGACATTTTCCAAGGTTATTAGGGTAGATTTACTTATGTGCTGATCGTATTTACTAATCCAGCCTTCAGGTGAAATATGAGTGAACATTTTTGACAGCTAGGGAGGTTGAGGGGTTATAAGCTAAAGAAACAGAAGAATAATTAGGGGAATTAAGCACTTAATTTTAGGAATCTAGCTTCATTAATAATGTGCTCAAATGGCCTTAAAAAGTTAAGTAGAAGAAGATGATATTAAAACTGTTGGCACTTTGTTTGCTGTTCTAAGCCTTTAAAAGGCATGTATTTTCAAGGGCTGGAGAGATGGCTCAGCAGTTAAGAACACTGGCTGTTCTTGCAGAAGACCTGGGTTCAAATCCCAGCACCCACATGGCAGCTAACAATGGTCAGTAACTCCAGTTCCAGGGGATCTGATAGCCTCTTCTGTACTCCGCGGGCATTGCACAACATGGGTGTACTTAGCTACATGCAGGAAATACACACATACACATAAAATAAATAAAGTACTTTTAAAAAGGCATGTATTTTCAAATGAAAAGTGATTTCTATCTCCATAGCTTAGGTCTTAAACAGCAAATCTTACCTCTGTTGGCAAATGGACTTCCATAGGCACATATGTTGGCCAATAGCCCATTGTGAGGATATTCACAGTTAGTTCAATATTTCCAGGTACGTTCTGATTTTGCATATACTGGAAGAAGATCAACACATACACCATGATTACACAAAAGTGCATATATTTCATACTGTAATAACTACTCATTAAAGACTGTCCTTATTCTAAAACTGTACATGAATACTGATCATCCTGAAAATAAAGGCAACTAACTATTAAGGAGACTTGAAATGAAGCCTATACAAAATGCACTAGAAAAGCACACAGGTTAATATTTTGATACACAGATACACAAAAATCCCATGAAAACAACCTAGGCATTACTCAATCTCTCACATACAGGTGGGCTATTACAGCATCTCTTCTCCGTTCTTTTCCCCCAATGCTACCTGTAGTCCCCACCTTTGGAGACCCCTACATGGATTCGAACATCTTGCAGCAACTCCCATTCCTCACCCCACCAGCCAGCCCAAGTCTGGTTTTTCAACTGCTCCATTCCCTGTTTGAAGGTGGTGACCTGAAGCGGGAAAGGAAGAAGAGGGGGAAAGGGCAAGGCAGAGAAATCCTACTCTGCAGCTACTGTAAGATCCATGGATCCTACTGACCCTCAACATTCTCCTGGATCTTTCACTTTCGTTTACCATCTTCAATACAGTGGTCAAGAAGTCATAGATCTGTTTTTCATCCCAAATGGCCTCAGAGACTTCAATACGAACCCCCTTTATCACCCCCCTCCCCATTACAAGCTCTGAACATGCAAATCCTCAAGTGATTAGATATCCAGGAAAACCCTGATCTGTCTAGCTACAATTCTTCTACTAGTTTTAACCCAACACATTTTATATTGTGTTATTCTGGATGTGTACAAAGATTAAATCCCAAAGTAAGCCAAATACACTTATACTTCACTGACCTTTTTCCTCTATTCTGAATGTCATTTAAGTTACTATGAAGCAGTTTTAACAAATACATATTTCTATTTATCCTCTTTAATATCAACTGCCACAAAGACATAACTTCAATATACTTAATGTCAAGGAATTAAGAGTTTAACTCACTTTTACCTGTTTGAACTGAATCATGATGTCTTTAGAAAGCTCCATGTCTTTAAACATTCCTTCCAGTTTGCTAGTGAAAGCAGCTCCACATTCTATTAAAGATTTTTGTATTACTGATAATGTTTTAAGTTGATAAAGACAATTTTAAACCAAATATCAAATAAAATGTAAAACTTACTTGAATATAAAATATGATCTATAACTGTTCATAAGAATGAAAAGAAATCCTTACTCAAAGTGTATACTCTGTTAATTCAGAGGTAAACACTAATCCTGATGCAACCTTATCCATGTTCAGATACATGGGAAAATTTTTAAAAAGGCAACAGCTGTAGATATGAACAATAGGTTGGGAACCTCATGAGCTTGCTTAATTAATGCTTTGTATGGGTATGTGTGGGTATGTGTGTGCAGATGCTGATACGGGCACCCATGCATGTACGTAGAAGCCAGAAGAGGACACTGGGTGTCCTGCTCCATTAGTCTCTACCTTATTCCTTTGATAGTGTCTCTCACTGAACCGGGAATTAGGCTAGCATCCAGAAAGCCACAGAGACACCCTTGTCTGCCTCTGCAACCCTGGATAGTTACAGGCACATGGACACAGGGCTTTTTTACATGAGGGTCTTGGGAATTCAAACTCACGTCTTCATGCTTGTGGAAGTGCTCTAACCCACTCAGCCATCTCCTGAGCCCCTTATGTTTTCACCATGTATACATAAAATGATTGATACAAGAGGCATTCAATTAAAAGAGAACAATTAAGTCAGCATTTCCCCTCAAAAAATTAAAGAAAATACCGAAATTTTTAAACAGAGAGAATGACAAACATACCATGTTTAAGTTTGGACAGCATTGATTTTTCAGCATCTACAGATGCACTCTTTCCAACTAAGAGGCGTTTGGCTAAATCTTTCTTATAGAAGGCCTCAAAAACGTCTTTGCCTATGTTAAATAAAAATTACAATACTCATGAGAGTCCAAGTAGAGTTATAACAAAATGGCGTTTAAAGGTTAATCATAGCATTCCAAGCTATTTTACTTTATATATTTTATCCAAGTTTACTAAACAGAACACTGTCCATCTCCATGCCAGACATTTCAAAAGTTCTCTACTATAAAGAATTAAGACTGCATTACCTATTCTTCACAAAAAACTTAGTAGCTTGGTACTGTTAGCCGCAAAAAACTTAAGAGATTAAAATAAGTAGCAAAAACTCTAGGCACTTAACAGTAGAAAGGTCAAAGCACAAGGCAATTTAGTAACATTCTTTAACAATCCGCAATGAATTAAAAAATACCAGGAATAAAATAGAACTTTAATAACCTCAAATTCCCAAACCGTCTCTCTCCAGGTTATACATACTTTCTAGTTTCTCTATGTTTTTCTTTCTTTGCATGGGGGTTCTTTTTTAGACAGGGTCTCCCTGTAGCCCCAGCTGACCTGGAACTTGCTATGTAGACCAGGCTGGCCTCAAACTCACAAAGATCTGCCTGCCTCTGCCTCCCAAGTGCTGGGACTAATGGTGTGCTCTACCACGCCCAGCTATTTTTATTTACTATTTTTATTCTATGTGTATGAGTGCACTGCCTGCCTATATGCAACTGCATTCATGTCATGCAATACCTGTGGAGGTCAGAAGAGGACATCAGATCCCCTGGACTTAAGAGTTACAGTCGGTTGTTAGCCACCATGTGGCTGCTAGAAATTGAACCCGGGTCCTCAGCAAGAGCAGGTAGTGCTCTTCAATGCTGAGCCATCTTTCCAGCCCCTATTTTTATTTTTGATAGGGTCTTGCTATATATCCATAGCTGCTGGCTGGCCTCAAACTCACAGCAATTATGCTTCAGACTCCTAAATTCTGGGATCACAGGCATGTACCACCATGCCTGGCTCAGGGTGCTTTGTTTTGAAAGAAAAACATTAAAGCAGTAATCAACACTTACCATAGATAAATCTAAATATGATCATAATTTTATCCAACATTTTCTCAAGCTCTTCATCCGTAGCTTCTTTATTGCCTGCACGAAGTTTTGAATCTACATACTTAGCTAAAATAGAGAAAAAGATTGCTGTTTAATGACCATGGGCATCCAAAATGTACTGGCCACTACACATACCCAAACAGGAGTATAGAATCCTGAGTCTTTCAGTTTTTCTGACATATGTTTGTGTGTGTGTATGTGTGTGTGTGTGTGTGTGTATGCATTTTTTGATATATCTCCCAACATAGTTCAATATCACAGAGCATTATATTAAATACGACAGCCTAACCTCATTAAGTCTTCTGACTCAAGATCAAATGTACTTTCTGGTATAATGGTTTTTATCAAAATGGAGTACAGAAGGGCTGGAGATGTAGCTCAGTGGTAGTGTTTGCCTAGAATACGCAAGTCTCTGACTTCAAACCCTAGTACTTGAGAGAAAAAAAAGTACATAGAACAAGACATAAACAGCTCACAGAGGAGGATCCTATATGTAGCTCCATGCGTAGGTAATCAAAGTCACCAGAAGACATGGGGCATCCTCCAGAGTTTCTACTTTTCACAGATGGTCAGGCTCTTAAATATTAGTTCTCTACTTAAATAAACTAGATACACTACAGAGTAAAAGGGAGATTTGTAAAACATTTGAAGATAAATAAAATTAGACTGTAACTAGACTTCATCCTTTTGGCAGAGGACCTAGGCTTCCATAGGGTTGTCCTCTAACATTAATGACAGCATGTGTGGAACATGAGACACACTGCAGCATGCCCTCCACAGTAAGTGGGCCCACATTATTAGATTTACTTTCATCCTGGATTTATCTCTTTCCATTGGTAATTTCATGCTTTTCTATGGTTCTAACTACAGACCTCTAAAAATATCTTCCTACACTCTATCTAAATCACTGTGGGCTTGAAAAGCAGACTAAAAGTAAATAGGGCCCAATGTTCTGGCTTGCAAAAAATATATAACATGTATGGCATGAGGGCTTTGAGATACTGTTTAGCTTGAAGGACTTTATTTCTTATGTACATGTCCTTAGAGACATTTTGCAGACTTAGAAATTACCAGTTAAGCAACATCAAATAAATGAGGTGCAGGTATATTATGATCTTCCCAAATTTCAGAGTAAGAGTTTATCAATAAAATATTACCTAACTGGAAAAGAATGAAAAACATACCTATCAGTTCAGCAGGTTTATTTGGTCTTTTATTAATGAATGTTTCAAATGCTTCCTTCATAGCATTGATAAATTTTTCATTCTTCAGAAAGCAGATATCAATTATATGGTCAACCTTATCTTTAAAGTCCAACAATTCTTGAACCATGGTTTTATCTTTTTCAGGGTTAATAACAATAGTGCTCCCAAAACCCTGAAAATAAAAGTGATATTTTTCATGGCAATTATCGACAATGAAAATAATCACCTAAACATATTCTAAATTGGAACATGTATTTAGCTATCCTAATAAGGTAAAGCTGCTTCTAAAGTGAGGAAAAGAAGTGGTAAATTATCTAAACTAATAATATTCATTGATAATCACAAAGTGAGTGACCATTAAGTATACAATATTCTAATGAGATATTAGAAGCCTCTGTTTTTCTTTCTTTAAAGAACTCAAAAAAAAATTTTTTTAATTATTTTTATGAGTATGAGTAGATTGCCTGCATGTAGGTAGGTGCACCCATGTTGTGCAATGCCCGTGGAGGTGAGAAAAGGGTGTCGAATCCCCTGGAACTGGAGTTACAGGCGGTTGTTAGCCACTATGTGGGTGCTGGGAATTGAACTGGGGTCTTCTGCATCTGCAAGAGCAGTCAGTGTTCTTAACTGCTGAGCAATCTCTCCGACCCCAGAAATTTCTATTTTTTTAAAATAGCAATGTGGCATGGGAGGGAGGGGATGAAGAATTTGGGGTTAAAACAAAAACTTGAGGCTGGAGATATGGTTCAGCAATTAAGAGCACTGACTGCTCTTGCACAGGACCCAGGTTCAATTCCCAGCACCCACATGGTGGCTAAAAACCGTCCATAGCTCCAGTTCCAGGGGATCTGATGCCTTCTTCTGAAACCTCTACAGGCACTGCACTGTCTCAAAAAGACCAGAAAAAATCTTTTTGTTTCCCACATTTACAACTTTAAGTAGTCTTAGAGCTAGAAATTACATCACTCAGGTTTTACTGCTGACATACCATACAGCTATCATTCTTAGGTTGACTTTTCAAAGTTTTCCTTTTTTGTGCATTTTTATTGAATTGTTGTGCACGTCACACAAAACATCTTAATTACCTTTATACCCCTTCCCACGTCCACACTCCCCTATCCAGCCCCCACTGGATCCCATGCATTCTCTCATATATGCAAATGTCTATCAAGTCAAGTGTGTGTACTCAGGTGTTCCTCAGTGCAACTTCATCCACTGGAATCTAGTCAGCCTATCTCACTCTCTCCCTTAAAGAAGATCCACTCCCCTCACAAATCTTTCCTGAAATAGCATTTGGATCTAACAAGAAATGCTTGCTGATACTCACTCTTGGTACGCAGATTATAAACCACTCAAGTGAAAAATCACAGTTAAACTGTTAGTACCTTGATATATTCAATCCATTGCTGCAAGAGAACTTGAACTCCACCTCGAACTCTACTGAAGAGCTGATACAGGAGAGACAAATCTTGAATTCGGTTCTCATCAAGGAGGTTATTTAAACCTGAATTTTGAAATATTATGGCATTAAAATATGGCACTCAAAAAGTGAATAAAATTGACATATACTTTAATAAAATAAAATTTAAAATTAGTACTGTGATACTGGTCTAAACTACAGCTAGATTATATATTTGCAAAATCCAGGGTATACTGTAAGATCACTAAAGACTAGAAGTGCTTGGCTTTACATACTAAGAACTAAACAAAACACACAATACACACACACACAAATATACAAACACGAAAAAAAAAAGTGAGACAAAAGGAATACCTTTCCTTAAGTACACTCTCACATATCAAAATACCTACGGTTTCTATTTTTTGTTTGTTTTGCAGTACTGAAGATGACTACTCAGGGTATTCACATATGCTAAAATGCTCTATCACTGAGCCGCCCTACTCCGTTCACTTTCTTCACTGGTTTAGGTAGAACCCTCTTCTCAGTTCTGCTAAGTTTCAGTACGGAAACCAGCACCTTAGAAGAAGTTCAGAAATGCAGCCACAAGTTTTCTTCGCCCTCATTAAACTTTGTTTTACTGGGTCTCAAAATTCTATGTCAGATTTTTGGTCAAGTTGTTTTCATTAAAAAAAATGATTTTAGGTCTAGAGAGATAGGTCAGCAGTAAGAGCACTGACTGCTCTTGCACAGTACCTGGGTTCAGTCCCCAGCACCCACATGACAGCTAACAACTCCAGTTACAGGGGATGTGACACCCTCTTCTGACCTCCGAAGGCACTGCATGACACAGGTGCACTTACATACATGTAAGCAATACACTCATACACATAAAATACAAATATTTTTTAAAATACTGATTTTTAAACACTAAAAACTTAAAACTACCCCTGCCACAAACAAAATGGTCCAAAAAGCATTCTCCTTTCCTTTGAGTGGTTTTATGATGAATTGTTAAGATGTATTGTTATCATTAACAAGTCTTTTACTATTAAACTTAACTGGCCAATTGAAACAAACACTATTAAGGCCATTTTTCTATCACTAAGACTAGGACAAGGCCCTGTGTGATGGCACAAACCTTTAATCCCAGCACTCAAGAAACAGAGACAGGCAGATCGAGGCCAGCCAGCCTGGTCTACATATGACATTCCAAGCCGGCTGGGGCTACAGGGAAACCCTGTCTCCAACCCCCCACCACCCCCCAAAAAAGACTAGGGTGGCAAGTTTAAAGATAATATTCAATTAGCCTTTTCTGAACAGATCTAGTGACTAATCCTAGTTTTTTCAATGATGCTTTTACCTACTGTTACCATTATCAACTTTAAAAGTAATCTCTTATTTTAAATTACCAATTACCTTTCTGAAGAATTGCTGATAAGTGTTCACCTAGAAGTTGTTTTTCAACACTCGCAATTAATGACTTCCTAAAAGGTTAAAGAAAAAAGATTATTGAGATTTGAATTTCCTGAAAATTTAAAGGCTCTCCTGAAGAAAATACCTCATTCTACATGAATTTCAATACTCCAAGTCTATATATAAATTTAGTAGTGTGCAAAAGTTTACATTATGCCTAGAGAATGAAAAATAATGTGTATTTTGGAATTTGAATTCTATTGCACACTAATGATCTCCGTGATCTTGCTGTGGCTGACTCATTCCAAGTTTCTTTGCTTTTTAATAAGAAAATAAAAAAAGTCATCTATGCTGTACAGAAACAATTTCTCTGAACACCCCCTTGTTGAAGTTTAATCCGCCTAAAGACTTTAAAAGCCGAGCATGTCCAGGTGTGGTAGCGCATGCCTTTAATCCCAGTACTTGGGAGCCAGAGGCAGGAATATCTTTGCGAGTTTGAGGCCAGCCTGGTCTACATAGTGAGTTCCAGGACAGCTGGGGCTACAAGGAGACCCTGTCTCAAAAAGAAAAAAAAAAAAAAAATCCGAGCATGGGGGTGCATGCCTGTAATCCCAGAACTTGGGAGGCTGTCACAAGGATCCTCAATTCCAGACAGACTGAGTATTTAGTGAAACCCTACCCCACACACAGAATTTTAAAGAGCACATCAGCATCTAATACTATTTTAAAATTACACCCTTAACACATGAACAACCAATAATCAAATCCTTGATTGAATCTAATTAACTAGGGAAAATAATATAAGTCTGCATGATGAACAGTTAAAAGACTAAATTGTTCCTGAAAATTGATCCTAATACATTTAGGACACCTAATAGCGCTTTACCAACGGTTCTAAGACTGTTAGGCTGAGCATCTAATACTTACTGGGTGGTCTGATCTAAGTAAGTAATAAGTCTGTCTGCTTCTTCTTCAAGGCGTTTGTTAACATGATGAAGATATTCAGGAACCTACAAAGATAGTTTTTTATATTATTGTTTTCCTCCCCTTAAATCATTCAGAAAATGTCAAGTCCAAAAGATCCAGGGAGTAGCCCTGTCAAATGTGACAGGGTTGAATCATATATAAAATTAGAGGTAGAGTTATGATCCAGAATTCTGGCCTTTAAGGAGAGAAAAGAAAGGCGTACCTAAGTGAGAGAACAGAGCATTGCAATGTTGGGAACATACATGCAAAGGGAAGTTTGTGTTCTACAACGTAATGCCAATTGTAAGAGACAATGGATTTACTAACTAGGATTTTTAAATACCTCTCTTTCTTGCATTAACTTTTGACCTTCAGCTGCATAAAGCCTATTAGTTTCTTCCAAAAATCGTTGTTCAAAAGAATCTTGATAAATCTGGGAGGGGGGAAAATGAAGGAGTTTGTTTATTCAGTATTTACTGAATGACTTATCTGAACACTATTTGAACAGCACTCTGAATGTGAACTTCATATAACAAACAGGAACAGCAATCATATCTGTAGGTAGTAAGTTTAAGTGCAACTTACTTGCAAATCAGACAGCATGCTTAAAAGGCTTCGAAGTAAGCTTCTATCAATTGCTTCACCATTCCGTTCCCTCTCAATCAAGAGAAGGATGCCATCGATTGTTTTAGTCTGGACTTTCTGATCACTTATAATATGAGCCCGAAATAATTCCAATCCCATGTCCCTAAAATGAGAAAAAAAATGTAACCGCTAACCTGGCAGCACCACTTCTGAACAGACTTACTTCGTATCAAACATCTAAATTAGGGCTCCAGACTTTGAAGTACCAATTACAAAAGGATAAAATCTACATTTAATTTTGAATAACATTATTAGGTTAAAGCATACAGGAAACTCATTTTGTCTTTAATGAGAACGGAAGCTGAATTCCTGTCTTCCTCCTTAACTAAGTTTTGTTGTATTATTTCCTCTAGTGGACATCTTCCTTGGTTAAATCAAGAGATAAAATTGGTTCAAAGACATAAAATATTTTTCACTATAATAGCACTGAGAGCTTATTTGGTCATTTATTAACTGATTTTACCACTCTAAAATCAGTGACTACTGATCACTACTGTACATATATGCTAGACACTTGGTGAGGGATGAATTCATACTATTCTATTTTCAAGAGCACACAGACTTTTCAGTAATATGGTTACAAGAAAAATGAGAGAAATTCTAATGATCAGCAGGCAACAGGATTCAGTCATAGGAATTCCAGAGTAAACTCTGATCTTTATGGCTAACAAAATTTCTTCAGAGCTGGAGAGACAGCTCAGTGGCTAAGAGAACATACTGCTCCTGCAAAAGACCACAGTTCAGTTCCCAGCAATCACACTGGGTGACTCTCAATCACCTATAACTCCAGCTCCAGGGGCTCTGAGGCCTCTTGACTTCTGTAGGCATCTGCACTCACATGCGCGCGTGTGTATATGAATAATTTAAAAAACTTTACATTACATACATTAATTATGGTGAAGGAAAGTTAGTTATCTTCAATATTAGCACAGGCACAAAACATATAAAAGAACGCAAATATGAATTTTTAGGAGACTTCACAGTACAGCTTGTTCTCTTTCATTATAGTAATTTAGACAGACTATGATTTGCAACAAAATTTTTCTTAACAATGTTCTGGCATCCTTACCAAATGGAGGGTAGCAGTGAATTCTGAAGAACGTAAGTTCTATCCAGAAACAAAAAAATGCTCCTGATCATTATCTGTCAAATAAAAAAATAAACAATTTTTATATTGCTGAAACTGAAATATCTGCTTTCTATAAAATAAGACTCTGAAAGGTTTTATACCAAAATAGACTATTAGGATCCAACATGCAGATAAACACATCTGAGAACATGCCCATAATATTTCACTAAATTATTCTATGGTTATTTTAATCCTTATTGTGGTTTCTAGAGGAGATACTTAAGATGGTCCTCTGACTGCTTTACTACTTGAGAAGGAATCGAAAAGGAAAACAGGAGCTCAGCATGGGGGTAACACACCAGTAATCCCAGCACTCAGGAGGCTAGAGCAGGAGGATTTTGAGCTCCAGGTCAGCATGTGCTACATAGTAAGATTCTGTCTCAGAAAAAAAAAGGGAATCAAAGGAAACTTAGAAAATTTTCCTTACCAACAGTGCTAGGGGGTAAAGTTGCCTTAAGTTCTACCTGTGGTATTTGGGAGGTGGTAAATTGATTTAAGGACTTCAACTCACATTAATATAAAGAATAAAGTAATACCAGAAGCTATGGCAACAAAACAATATATCGGGATACTGCCTGTAAGACTGAGAAAGATGCAACTTTAATGAGATAAATTATTTTTAGTTAATAGTTTAGCAAAACTAAAAAAGAAGTCAGGTATGCTGGGTGATACATGTAATCCCCACAACTCAGGAGGGTGAGGCAGGGGGATAGCCTTGAATCTGAGGCCAGCCTGGGTTACAGTGCGTTTCAAGATATCCTGGATTGAGTGAGTGTAACACTCAATCTCAAAAAATAAAGTAAAAAAAGTTGGGTGTGGTAGTGCACACCTTTAATCCTAGCACTCAGGAGGCAGAGGGAGGAGGATCTCTGAGACACAACAGCCTGGTCTACATAATGAGATCCAGGCCAGCTGTGGCTACAGGGAGACCCTGTCTCAAAAAAGACCAAAAAATAATTTAAAAATAGAGGAAAAAAAAAGACAATAACCAGCAAAAGAACAAGAAAGACTCTAAGATGGAAGTCATTCCGAAATGCTATTTTACTTGTAATTCGCACTTTTAAAGTAAAAATTTTAAAGTATTTTCTTTTTTTTTTTTTTGGATCTTTTTGAGACAGGATCTCCCTGTAGCCCCAGCTGTCCTGGAACTCACTATATAGAACAGGCTGGCCTTGAACTCACAGAGATCCACCTGCCTCTGCCTCCCAAGTGCTGGGATTAAAGGCATGCGCCACTATGCCTGGCCAAAAGTATTTTCTAATTCAGAAAAAGAGCAGTAATTGAGACAATCTCCTGATTACAAAGTTTTTACTTTTTAATTAGTTCATACTAGTTACACAAAGCAATTGGGTTTCATCACACCATTTCATACATGTGTATTATAATGCTTGTATTTTGTTCATTTACTTCTTCTGCAACAGGGTCTCAAAATGTAGCCCAGGTTGGCTCAGGATAGAACCCAGAGCATCACACAGGGTAGGCAAATGCTGTACTATTCGACTACACCCCAACCCCTCTTCAAAGTTGCCAAAACATTATGCTACCTGAACTTTTTAAAAACTACAATGTTTAGAATGAAATGTAGCACATGATACCATTTCTGACTTACCATTTGCCTACAATGATTTTGCCAGCATTTATCAATCTTCTTTAGGAATAGAACACTATCTAATGAATCCATGAAATCAATGTCAAGGTGATTTTAAAGTGTTTCATATAAGTAATATACGTAATATTAAGAGCATATTTTTCTTAATTATAGAATACCCTATATACTAAATAAAATGAAACAAATTATAAAAACACAAAGCTATTTTATTATTTTTTTAATGCGTCTGAGTGTTATGCCTGCATGTATGTAAGTGCACCCATGTCATGCAGTGCCCACAGAGGCCAGAAGAGGGCACTGGATTCCCCTGTAACTGAAGTTATGGATGGTTGTTAGCTGCCTCGGCCTTCAGCAAGAGCAGTCAGTGCTCTGAATTGCTGAGTCCTATCTCCAGCCCAAAGCTATTTTTTAATCATAGAAAAAATCAGATCTCCCTTAATCTACCTATAAAACTAGTTTTAAATATAAATGAGCATTATATTTTCTGTTTTAAGACCTCCTTCAGATGGAAATTTTGGAGGACAAAAGGTTACAGCATAGGGAAATTTTACTTACATCAATACCACATGTAGACTTCAACTCTAATTAAAACTGAAAATTCCATGGGGCTGGAGAGATGGCTCAGCGGTTAAGAGCACTGACTGTTCTTACAGAGGACTCAGGTTTGAGTCCCAGCACCCACATGGCAGTTACAAACTGTCCTTAACTCCAGTTCCAGGAGAATCTGAAGCCCTCTTCTGACCTCTGCAAAACTGCACGACACGGGTGCACTCACATACATGCAGGCAATACACTCATACACATAAAATAAAAATAATAAATAAAATATTAAACTGAAAATTCCAAAACTTGATTTTTTTCCTCTAGAAACAATAGGACAGAAAAAAAAATCTACACAAACAGGCATTCTACTTCAAACTGAGCTAGTTTGTAAGGAGTAGTGAAGAATAACAGACCATAAAGTGTAAGAGCTTTTGTTATGAAAAGGATATTCTCTGAACTGATGAATCTGTGCTTTGATGTGATCTTCACAGATCTGTCTCAGCTGCTTATACAAGTTTGCAGAAATCTTGTAAGAACAAAGATTTTCTACAGCCTGCAAGATGAAACATATAATTTGTTAGAGCAGGATGTAGAGGGTACATTCTCAATTATCTATATGAAGTCTTATTATTTTGATAAGCTTCATATGAGCTCACTGAAAAGAAGGTATTCATGAGAGGCATCTACCTAGCAGGCTAAAGTAGGAGGATCACAAGTTTGATGCTAGCCTGGAAAACTTAAGTGAACACACACATAAAAACACATACCCCTCCAAAAACTTAGAAAATAAAGCAAGAAATTATACCAATGTGGATGATACACTTTTTCATTATCAATGTACTAAACTAAAAGGAACACAAATTACTATGCTTATTATGGCCTTGCAGATTAAGGTTGGAGGGAACCCTGACAAGTGCTACCCTATGAGGATATCCAATTTGTATCAACTATGTACAAAAGTGATCTTGTTAAAAATGTTAATAATTTCCATAAGCAGAACTCCATTATGTTTGAAAATAATTTCACCCACTGTTTATGATGTCAGATGGGCGAAGAACAATTAAAACTCAAAACTTAATAGTTCCTGGGGTTTTCCTAAACACAATAGAATGAAATTTTTTGTTAGGATTATTGAAATAAGTCTGATATATAAACATCTTGAAGTTTTCTCCAGTGTTTCAGTTTAAAAATAGTTAAATTCAGCCTGGCATGGTGGTACACGCCTTTAATCCCAGTACTAGGGAGGCAGAGGCAGGCGGATCGTTGTGAGTTCAAGGCCCGCCTGGTCTACATAGTGAGTTCCAGGACAACTGGTGCTATAGGGAGACTCTGTCTCAAAAAAGACAAAAAAAAAAGTTAAATTCAGGGACTATGAACTATGCTTAGTGGTAAACGCTAGCCTAACCAGCTTGAGACCCAAGATTTTATACCCTGAACCAAATTTAAAACAAAAAAAGAATATAATAGAAATGAATAAAACTTTACTTCATTCTAATAGTTGAATTAATCCTCAAATCTTAAGTTCAGATTTTGTGAGTTTCTTATTTTGTATACTGGAAGACTTTCAAGTTTAAATCAATAGGCATGGTAACTCTGATGTAATCTCTAATTCTAGCTGGTTTTGGCTTAAGTATAACACCAAGATTCCTTTCTCACCACGACACAAGAAAAAAATCCCTTTGAAATGGATGGGCGGAGTAGGGGGAGTGAGTATCCAAGCTCATTGGTCTGAGTGGAATTTTGTTAATTATGTAGCTAGAAGTCACAGTGCCAAAATATAAGTCTGGTACACCTTCAAATAAAGAGAAAGCTGAATGTAACCCACTTATTTCACTGGAGGGAAGCCATCACAGTTCACCAGGAAAGAGTAGGCACATTAGATTCAAGAGCTATGGAGAAATAGAAAGCTGAATATTCTTTGAGAGAGACCCAGTTATATTCCATTAACATGGGGTTAGGTCACAAACGCCCAAGGCACAGTTTTATTTTATGCCTGTCTCTATTCCCATTGGTCCTCTATGGATGTCCCCCTTCCTCCTTTATAGTATTCTTTCCTCTCTATCTGTGTTCCTTTTGAACGGATGACTCACCTGTATTAGATTAACAAATGACTTAGAGTACATACTTCATCTCTCTACTTTTCCTACTTCCAATACTTGTATAAATCCCACTCATCCCACTTCCCTGTACTGTGTTCTCCTTTATCTCATAAAACTGTTCTTGACACACTTATCTTCTCACACAGGATACCACATGTTCTCTTACTATTCAACTGGGTACCATTTCTTCCAATAAGTTCACTCCTTTTACTGCCAGTCACCCATCTGATCCTTCCACCCATCACACTACATACACGGACTTGTCATGAGACCAATACGGCATCTTTTTAGGTGTATAGCCTGTCCTCTTTGCCTCTACTTGATAGTGATCAGTCATAAACCTAAAAGTGTGTGTGTGTGTAATGTATTACAACATGTCATACACATTAAAAGGGACTTCCATTAGAATGAAAAATATCAAAAAACTACAGAATGAGCTATTATAATGGTGATAATTAGAGATGAGACTACCTAACGCATCCTTTAGGAGAGGGCAACTAGGAAAACTTTCTTGGGTTGAGTTAAGAAAGCAGAATCCCAAAGACCCAGAGAGAAATGGATAAGGAGCTGGTTAGAATAATGAGTAGAACACTACGCCGTGCTTTACGTACATACAGTTTAATCTGTTTAGTTGGAAGGTGGTAGTTTGAGGTAGGTAAAGTGTAGTATAGCTCAGTGGTAGAGCGTTTGCTTGCCTAGCACACCCAAGACCCTGGGTTCATAACCCAGTACCATAAACATGATTTAGGGGGCTGGACACATGGTTTAGCAGTGAAGACCGGGATTTAGTTCCCAGCACCAACGTGGCAGGTATGAACTATACATAACTCCAGTTCCAGGGGATCCAATGCCCTCTTCTGGCCTCTTGCCATTGCACACACATGGTACACCTACACTACCTGCAGGCAAAATGCTCATACACAATAAAAATTTTAGCCAAAAGACAGGAGCAACTCAGATTTGAATTTTTACTTAACTTACTTACTTAATTAATTAGGGTTTTCTGCAACAGGTCTCCCTGTACCCAGCTGGTCTGAAACTCACTAGGTCGAACAAGCTAGTTTTGATCTCACAAGAGATCCGCCTGCCTCTGCCTCTGGAGTGCTGGGATTAATGCCACATGCCAGTATGCCTGGTGAGTTTTCAATCTTTAAAAATATTACATTTATGTGTGCATGTGTGTACACACACTTGCACACCATGCACACATGTGGAGGGCAGAGGACAATTTGCAGAAGCCTGCCGTCCTTTCACTCTGGCCTGGCAGCAAGAGCCCTTCCTTACATGATGCTCTACCTCACTAGCTCCAGATCTAATAGTTTTCATTTCTCAATGCACTATATGGAGAAAATCTCACACAGGCACAAAAGGAAAAGGACAGAATTGTTTGTAAACTATTATCATTTGTGTAAAAAGTGAAAGAAGAAGAGAAGGTGGCATACGCCTTTAATCCCAGCACTTGAGAGGCAGAGGCAGGTGAATCCCTGTGAGTTCAAGGCCAGCCTAGTCTACATAGTGAATTCCAGGCCAGCTATAACTTAAAAAAGTGAAAATGAATGTCAACATACATATCTGTTATATAAAACATCCCTAAAAAGCATGTGTTGGTGCACGGTGCACACTACCTTTAATTCCAGGACTTGGGAGTTGGGAGGCAGGCAGATCTTTTAAGTTTGTGTCCAGCCAGGGCTACATAGTGAGACCCCATCTCAAAAAACTGTACACAAACAACTTGAAATATCTCTGAAAAAAATACTCAAAAAACTACAGCAGGGCACAGTGGCATAAGCCCATAGTCTCAGCAGACTGAGACTGGAAGATGACTTGGGTTTGTGAGTTCTAGATCAATCTGGGCAAGAGAACAAAGATTTTAGCTTTCCCATACAAAGAAAACTAATAATAGTCATTAAGGGAAGTAGCACAGCCATTCCTTGAGTCCCAGCATGAGGGAGGCAGAGGCAGGTGATCGCTAGTTTGAGGCCACCCTGGTCTACATAGCAATTTTCTGGTCACCTGGGACTACAAGGAAACCCTATCTCAAATTAAAAAAAACACCAAAGTAACAAGTAGGGAAGTAGCTAGCAGGTTACAAGACAGCTTGAAGATGAGATTTTTGATACTTCTCAGGTTTAGAACCAAATTAATATATTAAATATTCAAAAACTTAAATTCTTGCCTCTTTCAATAAAATCCTTTCACAGCTTTCCTGTTGCTACACTTCCAGGAATGGCATTTAAGGCCCAGTCTTTCCACTTGTCTATGATCATAAGCTTCTATACAGTCTGACCTAAACACTTTGCTTTCTTCACTTTTGAGCAGTCACATGTCTCCAGTACAGTCAACTTTTAAAATTTTGTAACCCTAACCCAAAGTAAGAAATTCATTCACACCACAACCCACCTCACATCAATTTATACAACAAAACCTTCACAAAACTACACATCATTACTATGTGTGATACACACTAGTATTTTCTATTGTATTTTAATAAGTTTTTGTGTATGTGTATGTGCTGAAATGTGTGTGGGAGTGCATGTACGCAAGTGCATACGCATTTGGAGGCCACGAGTCAGTGTTTGGGATCTCCCTGAATCACTCTTCACCTTATTTTTCACAGGATCTCTCACTAAACCTGAACCTCACAGATTTGAAAGACTAGTTGGCCAGAAAGATCCAGGTATTTTCCTGCTTCTGCCTCCCCCAGCACTGGGGTTACAGACATGTGCTTCCTTTTATGTAGGTATTGACACTCAAACTCAAGCCCTCATGCTTGTGTGGTAAGTGCTTTACTGAGACATCCCCTGAACCCCTCTATTGTATTTCTTCTTATAAATGCTAGACTGAGTAAGGGGCTGGAGCAGCAGCTTACCTAGCAAGCATGAGGTCCTAGGTTTGATTCCTAGCACAAAACAAGAAAAGGCTGACTATAAACTATTAATTTGATGAACTTCATACAACATAAGCACTGTAGAGGAAGAGATGTGATTTGTATAGCCCTAAGGTATTTGTCCTGCTGCATACACAGTAAGCAGCCATTCATTCAACAAGAAATGAGTATTCACTAAGCATTCTGCATCCTGGTAGGTACTGGGACAGAAACAAGAATAAGAAAGCGTGAAATAGAACTAGAGAGACGGTTCAGCAGTTAAGAGCACTGACTGCTCTTACAGAAGACCCGAGTTCAATTCCCAGCACCCACACGGCGGCTATCAACCATCTAGTAATTCCAGTTCCAGTGGATCCAACATCCTCTTCTTATCTCTGTGGGCACTGCATGACACGGGTGCACTTACATGCATGTAGGCAATATAGTCATACACATAAAATTAAATTTTTTTTTTAAAAACACTCCTTTTGGGTGTTTAAGACCATGCACTTGGCCCAGATAAACCAATTTATTTTTACTCCCAAGGTCATTTGAGGATCTGTTCCTCAGGAGTCACATGGGCTTAGG